CTGCTGATGGCCTCACTTTGATCACGGCTAATGCTAAAATCCTTGATCTCTGGGCTGTACATTTCCACAAGTATTGAACCAGACCTCATCTTTTGACAGCAGTTTTCTTGAAGAGATTCCTCAGCGGGCTAATGATTTACAGCTGGATATACCACCAACTCTTGATGAGGTACAAAAAGCTGTTAAACAGATGAAATCTGGAAAGGCACCTGGCAGTGATGCAATTCCATCCGAAATTTATAAAGCTGCTGGTGGCCAGATGATATACTGTCTCACCCAATTATTTAGCACCATCTGGGAGAAAAGGAGCTAGTCCCCCGGGACTTCAAAGATGCTCTGATTGTACATATATATAAGAGGAAATGTGACTGTGCATGTTGTGATGACCATCGGGGCATATCTCTGCTCTCTATAGCTGGTAAGATCCTGGCCCGCATCCTTTACAATCGGCTCTCACTGCATGTGTTTAAAAATGGTAGTATTCCTGAAAGCCAGTGCGGATTTTGTGCCAGTCGAGGCACTGCCGATATGATATTTACAGCCAAACAGATAGAAGAGAAATGTAGAGAGCAACATCAGGACCTCTATGTGGTTTTCATTGATTTGACCAAGGTGTTCGACACAGTCAACAGAAATGGGTTCTGGAAAATACTTGGACAAATTGGTTGTTCTGAAAAATGTATCAACATTGTTTGGTCTCTCCATGATGGCATGCTTGGTCACATCCTTGACAATGGAGACACATCAGCTCCTTTTGAATATCAAACGGTACAAAGCAAGGATGTCCTTGGTCCTCTCCTGTTCAACATCTACATTTCAATGCTGTTAGTTGCTTTTAAGAACTGCACATTGGGCATACCTATTCAGTTTTGCACAGATGGCAGTCTCCAGCGACTCCAGGCTTGCACTAAAGTGATTACTACAACTATTCGTGACCTTCTGTTTGCCGATGGCTGTGCATTGCTGGCTCATTCGGTGGCTCATTCAGTGAAGGATGCACTTTGTTACTTCTGCTTACCATTTTGGACTCACAGTGAGCCTCAAGAAGACAGAAGATATGCCTCAGCCTGTTTGGAAAGAGCCCAGCACTTCAGTGATTACAGATGCTGGTATAATCCTTAAGGCTGTTGACAAGTTCTGCTACCTGGGAAGTGTACTGTCCTCTAGCATAAATATGGATCACGATGTATCTGCTTGACTAGCCAAAGCCAGCGCTGCATTTGGAAAATGGACCAAACGCTTATGGAATGACCATGGTATTAAACTCCATACCAAGATAGCAGTTTATCAGGCAGTTATTCTGAATGTCCTGCTGTATGGCTCAGCGACACAATGACCATGGTATTAAACTCCATACCAAGATAGCAGTTTATCAGGCAGTTGCTCTGAATGTCCTGCTGTATGGCTCAGAGACACGGACAATATATCATTGCCATGTTTTGAAGCTCGATTAGTTCCATATGCATTGTCTGAGGAAGATTGCCCATGGGAACTGGTAGGACAAAATTCCTAATACGGAGGTCTGTAAGCTGTGTGGTGTCATGGGCATGGAAGCAATGCTTATGAACAAACAGTTTCACTGGATTGGTCATGTTATGAGGATGAATGATACATGAATACCAAAGATAGTCTTCTATGGCCAGCTTGCTCATGGAAAGCGCTCTATCGGTGGTCAATATAAGCGCTATAAAGACATCTTAAAGGCCAGTATGAAGTCATGTGGCATATCTCCCAATGATCTGGAAACTCTAGCTCAGGACAGATTGTCCTGGCAACAGACCATTGTACAGGCTCTTAATTGCTTTGACAGTCAGCATATCCAGGCATTGCAGGAAAAGCGGAGGATCCGAAAGGTACATACAGCGCCTGCAGTTGGCAGCTTTTTATGTGACATCTGTAATTGGCTCTGCCGATCAAGGATTGGTTTAGATGCTCACCAAAGGCTTCATAGAGGATGAGATCCGTCGATCGACAGCTTAGTCCAAGAAGAAGGGTGGGGTAGGAGAAAAACGTAGTTTTAAACCATACTAAGTGTGCAGGCAGTTAGGAGTTCTATTCATTTTACTGGCTCATAAAATACACTTATATAAAGTGTGCTTTATTCCATAACCTTTTACTGTAATTAAGTCTTCTCAGTTTTCCTGCAGGAAGATAAATTGGTGTTTTCCAGTTTTCTTGTAAGTTACAACTTTTCTTTAAAGAGCAGCAATAATTCTGACAACTCAGATGCCTTATTTAAACAAATACTGCTTGAATTAAATACATGCTGAGTCTGAATTTTATCTGTCTTTTTAATTTCACATCATCCTTCCCCTTGCTCTACCTTACTCATGAATGAAATTAAAATAACAGGTACATTTTAACCAACAAGACCCATTTTTAAAATTTGTATTTATTTTCTGAGCCATTCTCTTTCAAGAGAAATTGTATAAAACTTATTTTACAACTTAGTACAGTAAATGTCCGATAACCTGGGACCTTTAGGACCCAGGGGGTGCCGGATTATCAGATATGCCGGACTATCAGAAGGGGGGATTATGAGGGGTCTGGGGTGGGGTGGGGGGAAACCACCCC